CAATGAGTCCCCAGTATTATGGAAACCAGCCAAATCTGAGTATTATGATGCAGTATCCATCTTCAACACTTGCTAATCCAGTTCTGCCAGGATCACCAGTTGGGGGAACTACTCTTCTGTAGGGAGAAATGAAATGAGATATCCATCTGGTACCAGCAGATATACTGGTCTGTATTCTGGATGGCAGGGACAGAGGGGATTTGAGAGTTTTAGTGATCCCAAAATATGTAATTTTCTTGAGGAGTTGAAGTCTGGAAAAGGCCGAAGGTTTGAGTTATCTGATATTGCAGGACATATTGTTGAATTCAGGCAAGTTTTGTTTTGTGCTAAGCTTATTTTGTGTTTTATAGATGCCTCTGGTAATGAAATAATTAAGAATTTTCAACTTCAGTGCTGATCAACATGGAAGCCGATTTATTCAGCAGAAGTTGGAAATTTGTAGTTTTGAAGAGAAGGAATCTGTATTTAAGGAAGTTCTTCCACATGCCTCCAAATTAATGACTGATGTTTTTGGTAACTATGTTATTCAGAAGGTTGGTCTTCAAAATGTTTATCATTTTCTTAAATTTGTTCAATTGCTTGTAAATGAGGCCACTTCATTTTGTTAATTCTTTCTCCTTTGTGCTCTAGTTTTTCGAATATGGAAGCTCAGAACAGAGAAAGGAACTTGCAAATCAGCTTACTGGTCAAATATTGACTTTAAGTTTACAGATGTATGGTTGTCGTGTGATCCAGAAGGTAAGTTCTTGTGCCTCATATATGTTGTCTTTCAAACCAGATAGGTATAACTATTTATGAGTTTCACTTCATCTCTTGTTTATCTCTATGTTTACTGCATTCTGTCTTCTTCACTATTCTGCATGATTTTTTCTTTATTATATGTTAAATAAACTTTGATAAAAAAATATTCAGAATATTCTACCCTAATTTTTCTTTTACATAAAGATTTATATTAAAATTGTCTACTTGTGGGTTCAATTATTGTTGGTTTGGTCTCCCTATTTACTTTTCTAGTATGTCCTTGCTTTATATGGGAAATTGTTTGCTTCATTTGCGTAATAATTTAAATGCCTCGCATGTTTATAAG